AACTGTCAGTGATTTATTAAGAGATGCTCAACGCATCCACGAATTTAGAGGAGGTGACGATTACGCTTTGTCGTCATTTAAAAGAGATTGATACTATATTATCTCTATTCAACAGTAATCCTGATCAAAAGCAATATGTCTTTCAAAGAACTGTAATAAATAAGATACAAGGACCAGCCTTAGAAGTCATAAGAACATTAGGACCAGATGCAACCTGGGATAACATGAAAGAAATCTTAGTCAACAACTTTGGCGTCAGGAAGACTTATTATCAGCTGTACCAGGAGGCTCCATCTGTAAAGGTTTAATCTGTAAGTTCAGTAAGTGAAGTTTTTAATAAGTTAAAAGTTATATTAACTTATTAAAAACTTTATTCGAGACTACACTAAGGTAGCCCAGCCTATGACTCAGTACCTAAAGAAAAATGTGAAAGTGGACACAAACGACTCTAACTTTATAAATTCTTTTGAAAAATTAAAAAAACTGGTTACTGAAACACCCATACATAAGTACCCTGACTTTAACAAAAAATTTAAACTTGTTACAGATGCCAGCCAATATGCTATTGATGCTGTTCTCCAACAAGACAGCCACCCAGTATGTTCCTCCAGTAGGACCCTCAACGAACATGAGAGGAAATACTCAGCAACTGAAAAGGAACTATTAGCAATTGTGTGGTCGACGAATTACTTTAGACCCTACCTTTACGGTGTTAAGTTTGACTTACTAACTCACCATCAACCATTAAAATGGTTACACTCGAAAACACAGGGTAAAGACGTTGACCCAAGACTATATCGTTGGCTACTGAAACTAGGGGAATATAACATTAACATTGATTACATAAAGGGTAAAGAAAACAAAGTGGCTGATTTTCTTAGCAGAATAAATAAGTAGACTCATGAAATAAATGCAATCGAGACGATTGACTCAGAAAAGGGGAGTGACGAAGATGCAAATTCTTTACACAACAATGTTGACGAAAACGAAATGGTACATTCTCAACAGAAAGACTTTAATGACCACATACCAATACTGGAGACGGTTGTGAACCGATTTAAAACACAACTTATTTTAACGGACCAAAAAATTAGAGAAATTGAGACAATACATAAGAATAGGAAAATTTATATAAATTCGCAAGACTTACAAAACAATCTATCCGACATTCTAAGAAGATACATAAACCGGGTAAAATAGGAACTTACACAGACCTACCTGACCACAAATATAACATTTTGCAACAAAAATTAAAGAAACTGTTTAGTGACATTAAGGGAATAAAATTTGTCAAATGTTCATTTCATGCAAAGGACATGAAGACAGAAGACGAAACTTACAAACCAATAATCAAAAATCATACGAGGGCTTAAAACGACATATATACCTTCCGAACCTCAAAGTTCGGAATTTCAAAGTTTTATTCAAAAATACATTAACAATTGTGACACTTGTAACAGAGCAAAGTATGACAGGAATCCAATAAGAGAAAGATTCAAATTCACTGAAACTCCTGAAAATATCAAACAGATTATACATATGGACGTATACACGAATTCTAAATCAAATTTCCTTACCTTCTTAGATAAATTCTCTAAATTTGCAACCGCTTTCTATCTCGAGGACAGAAACAACCAAACTATACTTGAAAAATTAAGGGAATACAAATCACAAAGAGTGCATTTTACAAAATTAGAAACAGACAATGAATTTCGTAGCGTAAATATAAAGGACTTCTTAAGAAAAGAAAATATAGAACCTCATTTAGTTAAGCCGAATTCTCATACCGGGAATTCTGACATAGAACGATTACATAATACACTTAGCGAAAAAATTAGAATGTTAGGAATTGAAAATAAGGACCTTAATATTAAAGAAAAAATTTTTAGGGCTTTGGAATGGTATAATTATAGTTATCATTCCACAACCAAAGGAAATTACCAAGATGATAGAGTAGAAGGTTATATAAAGAATTATAAAAGTGTTAGGCACAAAGAACAACCTAAATATATAAAACATGCTCTTGATAACATTCATTCTTCTAATATTAAGAGAAAATCAAAATTTTCAGGTAAAATTATTCTTCAAACAATTTTACATATAATTAATATTGAAGAAATTTCGAATATATTGAATACTTTTGAAACAAACATAAAACTTACTAGCTTAAACGAAAGGGAAAACACTTTACAATTCCAAGTGGCTTAATCAATTTCGTAATCACAGTACACAAATGGCTTTATGGAACAATGGGTAACACCGACAGATTAGAAATCGAAAACCACTTAAATGTTATAACTCAAAATAATCATATGGCACCAACATTAACAAACAAGTAAAGATTAATCAGAATTTTAATGAATCTTTCGTGAAACTTAAAGAAGCAATAGAACAAGACAGAAATACAATTTCGAGAAAATTCAACATGATTCGAGAACATGACAAACAATTACTTACACAAACAATTGACACTGACTATGCATTAAAATTAAAAGTCTAACAAGACAACATAGAACACTTACAAGATAACATATCATCGGCAAGATCAGGTGCAATATATGTACAGTATTATACTAACAAATGAGGAAATCATTGAATACGATATTGATTTTGACAAATTACAAAATTTTAAATTAGGGACTATAATAGATGACAAAAATAACTTAATCTTCGCCATAAATATTCCAAAAGGACTTATAACATTAGCAAATTCATTACTAATACCAATGACCGATAGGACTAACAGGGAATTAAAATTTACTCCAGCAAACATTGTAAAATTTAATAATAAAACTTTTACCTATGTAAAAAATACGGATTTGAAAAATTTAAAATTATCAAGCCATTGCCTAGTAAAAAGAAGTTGCAATAAATGATTTAATAATATATCAGAAGTTTTGGAAATTGAAAAAGGTTTAGTAATTGCCAAGAATCAAAATAATGTAAATCTTTCTAGTAATTGTGATGAAAGATCTTTTCTTCTCAAAGGAAATTATCTAATCAATTTTAATAATTGTTCTATAAATATAAATAATTATTCAATAAAAAACGAACAAAAAGAATTTAAACATAGATTTTTATTACTAGATTTAAAAGATAATATTACAAATCTAAACAATGAATTAAATTTTGATAACATTATCCTAAATCAAATTGAAAATCTTAGTAAAATTACAGAAATTAAGTATAAAAGAAAATCTTATTATATATATAAAATAATAACATTTATATTTTATAATTACTATTTTGATCATAATTGTAATATTTGCTTGGAAGTACAAAATTTTTAAAATTAAAATTAATATGACGACTCAGGAGAGTCTTCAAACAAGGGAAGGAGGAGTCATGTCAGTAAACTCAAGTAAGGTCAATTCGAAAGACGACACCTCATTTCCGTCGTCTTTCTTTTATAAAATTTAACAAAATTTTCCGTTAACTTAAAATAATAAAATTCTTTCACATAAATTTCTTATTTCTTATTTCATTATTAATATGCATAATACAAAAAAAACTCATAATCAACAGTAATTACTTTCATTGTTTTCACATAAAAGCTAAAATATCAAATTACAAAAATAAAATTAACACACTTAAAGTAATTACTGCTGACTAAATAATTTTATGCTTCCAAGTACCTTAAGTTAATAAATTCAATTTTAAAAATCAATTATTATTAAGTTTACTCTAGAATAAGTCGGTTAACTGTTATTCCGAAGAATAAAGTTAAATAAATAAATAAGTAACTAAAATTTAAATTTTGGTGTTTTTATATTTTTTATTACGCAAAAATAAAATAAACGTAATTCACGCGTATATCTCAAATTCTGCTGAACCGATTTTTATGAAATTTTATATGTAAGTTTATTTCCACCATGGCACAGATTGATCAACTTTTGGGATATATCAGGCCTCGCAGGAACTGAACTTTTTAGCGGGCCAGTTTTACATTTTTGAACATTTTGAAGAAAATATTCAACCGGTTTACTTGAACAGGCATCAGCAACTGGACGTTTACTACGGACAAAATATAAATTTTTGCGTATATAAAAAGAAATAATTAACCGATTATATTGAAATTTAATATTTAAATTCTTTGTATTGAAACAATGGACATATAAATTTTTTGGAAAGATCAGGGCTCGAAAACTGATCTGCGTTCCGATATCATATCTACGGAACGAATTGATAGAATTTCTTGAAATTTGATATTTGAGTTTTGGTTGTTACCGGAACTAACTGGCGGGCATTTCAGGGAATTCGGGTAGCACAAAGCGAAACTCTACTAAGAGCCAAATTTTTAGTTTTCTAGGTATGTTAACTATAAGCTAATTACTAATGTCCTCAAAATTGGAAAGAAGTATTTAACAGACATTTTTATAATATTCTGTAACACTTTCACTTAACTAGACAATACACATTGCGGTCGGTTATGTGCTGACCACACCAGATTTTTTTTATTATTGCAATGTTTTAGTATTCGCTTTTGATAACTAAAGCTTTTTAAAATTTTTATATTTTTATTGCGATAAAGCGAAAACCCGTCCTTTCTTATTGTGTATTGAAAGTATTCTGGTGGTTCACTGAAGGTCCATAGTTTGTGATATATATACTCTTAAATACTGTACTTACAAGAAACTAGACCGCAGTGCACATTAAGTGAGGGGAAACCAAAATAGACATGCTACTTCAGTGATGTACCAGTGACTTCACGGCGACTTTTGTCGCCAGATGTTTAAAATTATAAAGGCATAAATTTAATTTGTCTGGCATAAATTTAATCCCCTTTATAAAATAGACTAATGTCTGATCCCCACGCAAGAAGATAAGCCACCAGAAGCGCTTCCACTGCTAGGGTGTTTTTCAAGAAAACTTTAAAATCGATTTCTATTAGAAGAGAAATAGTGTGGAAACGAAAGTATTACTTTGATATAAATCTAATTTCCTTTCACTAGCCGCAAATGGGTTTCAAAATAGTTGTGCTGTTTAATATTTCTGTTTTGTTTTGTTACTTTTATAAATATAAGCTCGGTGTGAATAAAAAACTTAAATTGATATCAAACACATAATAGTAAACAGCCAAGTGAAATTTCTCATTAAGAATAAGTTAATATAAAATTATGTTATGATTGCACATAGTAATATACTTGTTATACTTACAGCAATTGTTCGGTACAGTAAATGTGGATTATCCATACATTTAAATTATTATAAATTGCATTATAAGAGGTGCAAAGGGGTTAGTCGCAAAATCAACTCAGTTGGACAAGTCATAGCCCACTCGATGCAGACTCATGCGAGTCTCTGCAATCGTTCCAGGTTCTTTCTAGCCGAACTAAGAGCGTGCCATCATCGTATACATCCACAACATGGCAGACGGGAAGCAGCCCCAAGACCTGCCCGAGATGGCCCTACAAACCATAAGTGCCCGGATTTCCCGTGTACATACAGCTTCCTCGTGACTTCGCCAAAGAAGCTTGGAATAAAATACCACCTACATACCGCACACGTTAATTGTGCGCTCATGTTCTAGCTTTCTGCTCCTAGTGAAAGACACCGGGGTCGTCTTGCTAGGGTCTGAGGATTACACCATCGCACCAGGCCTGGGCCACTCGCAATCCCCTTTGAACTATGTCACGAAGAGTCCCCCCAAAGGGCATAAGCCAATCATTGGCAAAAGCCTGGACAATAATTCCTTGACGAAGCAGCTCTGCCCAAGAGCAGTCACCGCAACTCTCGTAGCCAACATGTTGGACATCCATAAAAAGATACACGTCCCTACGCTCCAAGGCCCTCACAATCGCATGAGAAGTGTTGTCGAAAGCCCAATGAGAAGTGTTGTCGAAAATATTCAATAAGAACGATGTGAGGCTAATCGGTCTGAATTACTTGGGCACCATGTCCCTCCTTCCCACTTTGAGAGCCAAGCTACTCCTAAATATTCTTATTAAGAAAGAAGTTCTAACAGCCCACCTCAGGACGTGGTACTCTGCATTACCATATCAGAGAAGCTCCGTTCAGGGTAGCCAGTAAAACCCCCGGCTACCAACTAGTCCACTAAGTCTTGTAACGCCATTGGATTGAAAGGATTCTTCATTACTTCATGCCCAGGAGATTCTCTTAGTTTTCAGGCCTCACTTTCGACCATGTCGGCATGGTTGCACCTGCCAAACACCACAGAGTCGAGGAATCCGCCGACATCGCTCTCAAGATCATTGATCCCACATCAGCCCCTTCATCACGCCAAGGGGGAATTCCATCGAAAGAGAACATATATGTTAAATAGTTAAATATAATAAATAAATATTATTGGTTATAATTAAAAATATATTGGTTATAATTATATATCAGCCTCTCTGCTGTGTATACAAAAAAAATTGATCAGATTTAGCAAAGCTGTTTTAAATAGATAAAAATAAATAATAAACTACTAAATAATAAATAAATAATAAACTAAATAAAAAGTTTCCTACATTTTGGTGATCCAGACGATGAAATCAGTGACAATGTGACAAGCATTCGCCTTGCGCAAATCAACCAAGAAATAATTTAGAATCAATATATCAAAACGGACAAGAATTCATTTTTAGCAAAACACATCAATTAAACTCAACACACAAAACTGGCAAAAAAGCAACGTCAATTAAGTGATCAAATATAACGTATTACCCGAAATTTAAAAAAGGCCATGCAAACAGAAAAAGAAGAGAATAATTAAATAAAAGAATTGAGGCTTTAAACGAATACTGAAGAAAATGATTCACACTTGTCAAAGACATATGGAGGCAAGCATAACATATTAGCATAGTAATTATAAAACATTAACATTGAATCAGCAGAACGTATAATTGATGGAATACAATCTCATAAAACGAGCAGAAGTTTAGCAAACTATCAAATAAATAAAGTTGGATCAAACCAATGGTTTGTATTGTAGCACTTTTTCCTTCAACAAGTGAAAATTCTGCTTTTAAATACGGTCATGTATACCTATTAGAAATATTTTCATTCATATACAAAACTATTTCTAGGATTGAACATATTTGGAATGATGCATATATGAAGTCTTTGAAATAAAGCAAAAACTAATATAAAGTGGGGTTAACATAATGCTCGATTTAAAGGTTTTATCGTGTGATTTAAGAAAAATAATTATATTTTTTAATGTCATGAAATTTACCGTTAACTTTTTGTGTTTATAGAAATTTGAAAAAGCTTGCGGTTTCGGAAATATAAGGTGTCAAAAATTCAAATTTTACAAATTTCAAGAGGCGATAACTTAGAGGGGGTAGAGATGGAAAAAAATTTTCTTCTAGCGAATAAACTATTTGTTAATGTCTAAAAACCCCTAAAATTTCAAACTTCTACAGGCTGGGGTCTAGAAGAAAACCGAAATCAAAAATTTGGAAACAAAAGACTTTAAATAACGGTTAATTTTGGTTGGTTAATTTGTTCTACGGAAATAAGTTTCTAGTAAAGGTCTATGTAGGTGTTAAATTTCAG